ACTGGAAACAGCTGAAATGTCCATCAACTGGTGAATAAATAAATGAATTATGGTGCATCCATACAATGGAATCCTCCTTCAGTGTAAAAAGGAACAAACTATTAATACACACAACAATGCTGATGGACCTCAAAACTTTTATGCTAAGCGAAAGAAGCCAGACACAAAAGTCTACATACTGCACGATTCCATTTATATGACATTCTGGAAAAGGCAAAACTATGTAAACAGAAATCAGATCAGTGGTTACCAAGGGGTAGGGGTGAGGGCGGGGATTGAATACTAAGGGGGCACAAAAGGAATTGCTTGGGGTGAGGCAAATATTCTATATCTTAATTCTGGTGATGGTGGTTAGATGACAGTATATATTAATCAAAACTCATTGAACTGTTCACTTGAAGTTAATTTTACTGTACGTAACCTATACCTCAATAAACCTAACCTTAAAAAAATCGACAAGGTGGAGAAAAAGTGTGATTATTTCTGCTTGCCACTTAGGATCAAGTGATAAAAATGATGTTCTCTATAATGTGCCAAGCTCCTAAAACAGGCAAGATGCTAGTTATCATGTACTCCTGCCTGTTACTGCCCCCTCATCTCCTCCCACTCTCCCTTTGCTCGTTAGTTGTGGAGCACACAGGCTCCCTTCGTGTCTCTCTAACTCAGGAGGATCATGGCAGCCTCAGACTCTTTGCACTAGCTGTCTCCAAGATATTTGCACAGTCGACTCCTTCTCATCACTCATGTCTTAGCTCCAAAGACAGCTCCTAGAAGAGGCTACCTTGATCACCTTCTAGAAAGAAGCTACCTGCCAACCCACCTAACTACCGCATTATTGTGTATTATTTTTCTCCCGATAGCCCTTATCACTATTTGAAATTCTTATTTGCTTGCATGTTGTTGTCTGTGTCTCTCCATTAGAAGGCAAGGCTTTTGTCTGTCATTTTTACCATCTAGGGCAGTCTTTGGCACAGCAGTTGCAATAAAGATTTGTTGAATGGATGTAGTCCTTGTTAAACTAGAGAAGACATCTTTTTTTTTTTGGCCACGCCACGCAGCACATGGGATGTAGGATCTTAGTTCCTCAACCAGGGATCGGACCTGTGCTCCCTGCAGTGGAAGCCTGGAGTCTTAACCACTGGACTGCCAGAGAAGTCCCTAGGGAAGGCATCTTTAAGGAATAAACTTCCTATTCAGATTCCGGAAGTATAGCCACCTAAACAAATGTTTATTATACACCATATTTTCACTAGTCCCTCCCATGATGTGACTTTCATACCATTATTCATTTGTAGTTTATTGTAAAGAACACTAGACTGAGAGTCAAGAGTCCCAAATTCTAGCCTTGATCCTGCCACTAACTAAAACACTGAAAATTTGGGTCCAAAATTCCATTTCTAGAAATTTATATCAAGGAGAAAATTACAAACATATACACGTGCACCAGGAACCAGGATGCTCATCCAATGCATTCACAATAGCAAAGTTGGGAAGAAGATAATTTCGCACAATGGTTTTGGCTAAATATACCCTGGTTTATCCATCAATGTCACACTGTGAATTCATTTGAAAATGATGACTATTCAGTATTCATTTTGTTACTTATTCAATAGATGTACATGGAGTACTTGCCAATTTCAGGTACTGTTCTAGGTGCTGAGGATGTAGCAGTGAATGAAACAAAGGCCCTCTTCTCATGAATCTTGTATTTTAATGGGGAAGAAAGACAATGAAAATAAATCAACTACATAATATGATATCAGATGATAACACGTTCTGTGAAGGAAGGATAATGCATAGTAAGGGGATTGGGGACATTCCCCAAGAGAATGACTGGGGCATGCCACTTTATATAGAGTGACCACAGAAGACCTCTCTGACCAGGTCACATTTGACCAGAGGCCTGTATGAAGTGAGGAGGTGAGGCATGTGAATATCTGTGGAAACAGAGTTCCAGGCAAATGCAATGGGTCTAAGGCAGCAGTAGGCTTGAAAATTTCGAGGGAAAGAAATCCTGTAGCTGGAGAAGACTGAGCAGGGAAAAAAGTGGTAGGAAATATTATTATTGGAGAAGCAGCTAAGGACTAGATTTTGTAGTGCCTTATATAGGCCATGGTGAGGACATTAGATTTTATTATAAATGTGATGGAAAACCTTGGAGAACTTTGAATAGAGTGGTTAGATTTTTTTTTTAATTGGGGTATAGTTGCTTTACAGTGTTGTGTAAGTTTCTGCTGTACAGTGAAGTGAATCAGCTATATGTATACATGTATCACCTTTTTTTTGGATTTCCTTCCCATTTAGGTCACCACAGAGCATTGAGTAGAGTTCCCTGTGCTGTAGGTTCTCATTAGTTATCTATTTTACACATAGTAGTGTGTTATGTTGATCCCAATTCATCCCACCCCACCTTTCCCTCCATGGTGTCCATACTTTGTTCTCTACGTCTGTGTCTCTACTTCTGCTTTGCGAATAGGTTCATCTGTACCATTTTTCTAGATTCCACATATATGCGTTATTATACAATATTTGTTCTTCTCTTTCTGACTTACTTCACTCTCTATGACAGTCTCTAGGTCCATCCACGTCTCTACAAATTACCCTGAGTAATATTGCATTCTATACATGTACCACATCTTGTTTATCCATTCATCTGTCAGTGGACATTTAGGTTGCTTCCATGTCCTGGCTATTGTAAATAGTGCTGCAATGAACATTGGGGTGTATGTGTGTTTTTGAATTATGGTTTTCTCAGGGTATATGCCCAGGAGTGGGATTGCTGGGTCATATGGTGATTCTATTTTTAGTTTTTTAAGGAACCTCCATAGTGTTCTCCATAGTGGCTTTATCAATTTGCCTTCCCACCAACAGTGTAAGAGGGTTCCCTTTTCTCCACACCCTCTCCAGCATATACTGTTTGTAGATTTTTTTGATGATGGCCATTCTGACCAGTGTGAGGTTATACTGCACTGTAGTTTTGATTTGCATTTCTCTAATAATTAGTGATGTTGAGCATCTTTTCAAGTGCTTCTTGGCCATCTGTATGTCTTCTTTGGAGAAATGTCTATTTAGGTCTTCCACCCCTTTTTTGATTGGGTTGTTCAGATCTGTCTTATATTTTAAGACAGTGTGGTAAATAGGCTAAGGAAGGACAAAAGTGGAAGCAAGGAAACTAGCCTATTTCATAAATCCAGGGGAGATTATGGTGGCATGGACTAGGACTGAGGCAGTGGAGATGGTGAAAATTAATTATATTTAGGACTTTTACTTATTCCCAAATAGAAGTAATACAAAAAGGCCGGTATGGTAGTTTTGAATGGAGTACGAGAGAAAGAAGAGTAAAGGTGAACCTTTAGATTTGAGCCTTTGCAATTGAATAAAGATGTGGGATAAGAGGGTCTGAATGCAAAGGAGAGGGTGTTTCCAGGGCCTGGATAGCATCTGGGTATTATCACCTGGATGACATCCCACTAAGAACTGATAACTGAGTCCTGGGGCAATTCAGAAGATCAAATGTGCCAAATGCTGCTGAGAGTAGAATAAGATGAGTACTAAGAATGCCCCCTGGAGGTCACAGTGTAGGTCACATTGGTCTCAGTGAAGGGAGAAAAGCCTGACTGGGGTATGCTCAAGAGTGAACAGATTTCTTCAACAAATAAACTGATGGTGGGGGGTGGGGATTGAGGTGGAGGAAGGAAACTATAGATTAAAGGATAATTAAATGATACATCATCCAGTTACAAAGGGATGGACGTTATCGGATCCTCAGATAATTGGTATACAAATACTGACTTGATTTTGATGATATTAAATACTTATTAATTTATTTTAAAGTGAGACAATGGTTCTCTGGTTCCACGAACAAAACGAGTCCTTACTTTTTAGAAATGCTTGATGAACTGAAATAATGTCTATCGGTAGACAATTGTTGAAGTTGGGTGATGAATACACTATTCTCTCTACTTTCCTGTATGTTTGGGAACTCTCCGTAATTAGTTTAAAAAAAAATCAAATAATCTTAAAGAGTTAAAGTTGAGAACGTTTATCAGAATAACAACCTTATTTCTGTAAGCGCAACATGCTCTTGGAAGATTCCCATAAATTTAGAAATGTGTAACATTTCTTACGAAAATAACCTCCAAAAGAATTAAGTGTACTTTTTTTTTTTACACTTGTAATTTGTTGCCTGGAAATAGAATCTGAATTCGTAAATGAAAATAAAAGTGAATAGATGGTAAAAAAAAAATGCAAATTAAGAATATATTATTGATTCTCAATCATGTTCACAAGTATTTCCAGATTACAAAATACTTAAACAGCGTATAGAGTCCAACCTCATATTTTTTAATGTTATTTTTGACAGTGGGGCTACAGTAGATATCATTTCTAAAAATATCTGCTTACTGTATTGTCTAACGTTTACGTAAGACGTATGGATGCCTCAATTTTAAGCGTTAAAAAAAAAAAAAGAAAAAGAAAGGAACGAGCTACCAGCTGCTGCTTTTATTGATACAAAGTACAGAAATCCTCCGTGGCTGCAAAAGCCGCAGCCGCAGCCAAATTGCCAGAAGTCGGCAGGCTGCTCGCGGTCGGTGAGGGGGTGGGGGGTTGGTGGGGGGGGGGGGGGGGGGG